TCATCTTCCACCGGTGAATGCAGAAGTCTGGCTTCTGTACACATGATTTAATTTTGGATCAGAGATGAACACAAGCAGTGTTGTGTTTAGCAATGTTGTGTTTTTTGTTTTTTTTTTGTTTTTTTTTTTTTTTGTTTTGTTTTGTTTTTTTTTGGTTGTTGTTTTTTTTTTTTTTGTTTGTTTTGTTTTTAATTCTCAGGTTTCACAGTGCTTCTATCTATCCAAAATAATAATCGCAGGGCATTTGGAAGTCCCAAGACCGAAGTCTTTTACTCAACAGTAGAAGAAAGTAGAAGAGAGCATAAAAGATGTTGTTTGGTTTGGACCTGATGAAAAAACTCTCTAGTGATCTTGGCAGGATTTGCATGATGCTTGTAAAAGGCATTATGTGTTTTGGTTGGTTTCTGAGAGATAAAAGGAGACCGCATTTTAAAAGACCCTTCTTTTGTACATATGGAGAGAGATGTGCAACAAATGCCTGTATGATGCTACTTAAAAATCCACATTTGGTACAATATCTCTTTCTATCCCACTCAGCTACACAAAGGTCAGAACTCCAAGTGGTCGCAGTTGCTCCTCTGGGTGAAGGTTTGAGTAGAGAGACTTGTCAGCACATGAAAGCAAACAGAGCCAATTTCTCCAGTCCACGGCTGGGGATGAATTGTGTTAGTGACTACAGGAAGGAAACATCTTTTACTGACTCACTCTGTGCTGTCCCACTTCTATATGTGAATGAATAACTGCAGTCTAAAGGACAGTTTCTTTTGTGCATGGTAATTATATTTAGTATTGCACATAGCTTGGAGCAGACTGATTAGCATAACAACTGTTTACATCTTTCTCCAAGGAACGGTGGACACAGTGCTGTCTGCAGTATTTCTATGCATTGGTTCTTCAGTAAAACCTGGCTCACCTTTAGCTGTCAATCCACAGGCACTGGGAAGAAGCCAGATTCAGATTAGCTAGAAAACAAATTCAAAAAGTCTATGAATTTCATCTCAGCTATGGCGAAGAGACTCATCAGTAGAAAGAAAGCAAGCAATACACATAGACTATTTATGGGGCTTTCCATCTTTGTAAGAAAAGTCCTCATCCCTTGAATAATTGCACTTAAAAATAAAAACAGAGGACTGGAAATTAAAATATTACAAGCTGGAAGGATTCATGGTATATGGAGTTTTGCTTTGAATATTAGCAGAGTGCTCAAATGGACGGTGAGAGTGCAAACGATCAAAACCTTCAGACACGGAGTTAATAGCCACTACTATTTGGAGACACCCAGGGATCAATAGATACCGCACTAGCCTTTGTCAAAATGCTGTATGGCAGCTGAATATTGCAACCAGTACTTAAATTAAGCAAGTGGACCACAAACCATTTCTCCTTACCTAACTGAAAAGTATCACTTGCACTATAATTATGGCATAAAAAATCTTAATTACAATAATTAATGATCTCTCTTTCTAAGGAATAGTCTTAGGAGAGCATGACTGGATATCTTGAAACGTGTATCATTCTGCTCCACCTTTATTAAATGACCTTCAGGCAAGCTGTCAATGTATGTGAGCTCTATAAAGATGTTGCCTAAGACAGGATTTTATCATTTCAGTGTACGGACAATGAACAGCATATAAAAGAATATTAATGCAGTGGAAATATCCATGTTACGTAGTTCCTTCTTAACAGGGATTACTTTTGCAATACTTAACACTGTTGGTAACTGTAAACATATCATAGGCTTACAATTCCTGATGAGTGGGCAAACCCCCCCAGTTTTATAAGTGAAGAGTCTATTTCAGTCAGCCTTGTAAAAGAAATCTTTTAGTGTCAGTGATAATGAAAATGCCTGTTACCTATGACAGAGTTAAAATGGTGTCATGACCTGGCAATTTCTATTCAGTGCTGTCACATCCATGCACTGCACAGATCAGGATTGTCATCATGTAAATGTAAGAGGTTTCTTTATCTTGCTTTGTTGCTCAGTTGGGAACAGTAATTCTAAGTTTCCTGTAAATTGTGAATAGCAGCAGGGGGCCATGAATAGCTTGGAAACCTATATTTTTTCCATTTATTTTTTTTTTTTTAAATGCAAATTACACTAGTAAGTCAAAAAAATCACTTTTGTTAAAAATACATTCAGAATTAACAAATGCCAAAAAGAAAAGAAAAGAAAAGAAGACACATTTGGATTGCATCTCTTGCCTTCTGAATATTTAAGTTTATAACAAAAGACCAGCCTAGAAAAATAACATTCTTTACTGGATTTTGAGGAGGATACAGCTGTACAAATCAAAAATGTCATCCAGATATTCTCACATTACTGTGCTCTAAACTGCTTCCAGAAGAAATCTGTCCACTAATCATTTAGTTTAGTAGTCAACAGTCCTAATTTCTTTTTAATGGTGGTGCTCTAATTGCAACTTAAGCAAGGTTATGAATACCAACTTCATACAGGTATGTATGGGTATATATATGTATACTGTGTGTATGTAAGTGTGTGTATATCTACTCTATATGTAATATATGAATACACATTTATGTTGTACTCCTTAATAGTTAGATGTGCTTCCTATTTCCTAAGCACTTTACAAACATTAACAATTCAGACCTCACAAAAAACCTGCGAGGCACATATTATTCCTGTTTTATAGATGGGAAGACTAAGACACAGAAATTAAGGCCAAAATTTTCTAAATTAAAATCAGACCTAAAAGCTACATGTAGACACTTCATTAAATTGCCTGACTTCTAAAATTGTTAACTGCCAGTAGCCACCATTCCATGGGAAATCACTGAAAGGTATGAAAAATTATCTTCTGAAAATTGGATTGCTGCCTAGGTGCCTAAACTGGTTTCTTTTCATGTTAAAAAATGATTTTTATAGAAATATGATTTTGATTAACTGTTATATGGGGAAAGCTAAAATACCCTGTTATGACATTTTCATTCCATTTAAACCTCTACATTGTGTTTAATACTATATACCTGCTATATTTAATACTACACAAAAGTAGAAACTTTTGAAATTTTTCAAGTTATGGGAAATTTCAGCCTGGCTCTTGGAAATTGCATGATTTTTCAGGGAATGAAAAGCAGCTCTACCAAGAAAGAACTCAGAATTTCATGTACCCAAGTCCGATAATTTAAATTTGAGATCCAAATCAGAAATGAATGCTTTATGGGATTAGGCCAAGGGCACATGTTTAATTCATGCAGGAAATCCCTAGCAGGTTCTGGGGCTGGAGCCTTTGGCCCCCTGCAGCAGAATCTTCCTGGGTTATGCAGCCCCTGTGAATAGTTATTCCTGTGTATTTTATATACATAGGCACACACATACACACACGCTTACATATATATATATATATGTATATATATAAAAATCTCACTGAATAAATGTAAGTATAGTTCCTGAACATGTCATGTATCTTGTTTTCACTGGTGAATGCCTGTTCCTCTGTCATTGTCCAGAGTTGCTGCTTGTGACACTGTACATCCATGCAGACACAGCAAAGGGCACTGGTTTGTACAGGGATGGAGGAGTGGCGTGAGCGCACAGGCCGTGGGAGCTCGGGAGCCGTGTGGGTTTGGCCAGCAAGGAAAAGAGATTTGCTCGGGGGCATCTTGAGCCCTTCCAAGCACTGACCTTCCCTCTTGCCCTCAAAAGCTACGTGGTCACCTCAGGTGTGGTAGGTGTGTGCGTTTGCCTATGCATTGTCTGAGCAAAGAAACAATGACAATCCAAGTTTCTGAAAAGACTGAGCAAAATATTGGATTTTTCCTAATGAAAGCCACCTAAGTGCTTGAAAATACAGATCAGATGTAGAACAAAACATATGTTCCTAGGAGTTCAGAGTATTTCATATACACATTGACCTACTAGCAAAATTCCCAAAGGCATCTTGTTGCCAACTACGTAACAGCACAGTTTTTTTTTCAGCCACAATAATACAGGAAGATAAAATACACGTCCTAACACACAACAGATCCCCCAAATATACCACAAAAAGGTCTCCAATATTATTTTAACTCAACTAGTCCCTCCCTGCCCTCCCCAACTGAAACCAAAAAATAAAATATACAGATCCCTTATGGTGGAATTAGAAAAAAAAAAGCTCACTTACAGAGAATTTTCAGTTGAAATTAGATATAAAAGAGTAAACGTATCTAGTACATATTCAGTTGGCCTTTGTTAATAGAAATCTGCAGATGTCTCTGTAGTTAGTAAAAGACATTTAGTGATAGCTATAAAAGCACCTACAGTGCGATAAATAAAACCAGCAGGATTAAGAAGCACTGTTTCTGCTGCTTATTTCCAGTAGGTTCAATTATTAGTTTATGTTACCCCTTTCCCCATCCCGACCCCCAAAAGGTCTCATTTCTTTTTTTTTTTTTTTTTTTTTTTTTTTAACCATTATAAACTGTTTGTTTCTTGACCACTGTGGAGCCTCAGAAGTAAAGCACTTCTCAGACAGCTGGCAGTTTTCTACTTGGTCGCTCTGGAGCCGTGGAGCAACAGAGCCTTATTCCCTGACATGAAAACAAAACAAAGCCAAACAGAAGAAAACCACTGACTTAGAAATCGTTCAGAATTAACAGCAGCATGTTACTTCAGAAAGCTTGCACGGAGTTTCTCTGATGTGCAACGCAGTTGGGTTAAGGCAAGTATGAACTGTACAGCCTTCAGGGCAAACAACGCGCTGTCTATTCACTTCTGCTGCAAGATCGTCCTGGTATTTTTAGTGTTGACTAAGGAGACTTGACGCGGCCAGGAGTGCGGAGGGGGTTCTGAAAGCACCGAAAGGTCTTGGTTCGTGTTTTAATCCAGATGGGCCACGCAGGCAGTGGCCAGGGTAGGAGAGAGCCAGAAGATAGCATCAATGCCTCTTCTTTGGCCCTCTGGTGCAGGGAGGCAGAAGGTCCAAGGTGGGGGTCTGGGGCATCTCCCTTAGTACGTTAGAAAGAGGGGCTGAAGGTGTCCGTTGTTTTTTGTCTCACTGTTCAATCAGCTTTTTTTTTTTTTTTTTTTTAGCACAAAAACTGGACTTTTTTTGCTCTTTGAAGAACCAGGGGGCCATCTTGAAACAGTTTCTTTGACAGGTCCTCCAGCCCATGTTGAGAAGCCCCTTTGTTTACTTTGACCTAGAAGAAAAACAGAAAAAGAAAGGTACTTAAAATCCACCATATACCTCTCCAATCACTGACCTGCTGCTCTAGTGCCCTTTAGCAAACAAGTGTAAGCCATCAACCTGTAACGGCTCAGGTACACACGGGATAAAGAGGACAGAAAGACAAGGTGTTTGCTCAGGTGATTGCTTGGCACTCTCTGGAACATCGTCAGGGAAGACAGCACAGGTTGTCTAAACCATTCTGGGCAAGAGTGAAATTTAATTAGTATCTTAACTATATATCTGTGTGTCAACTGGAAGATGACCTAAACTATAATAACCCATCAGAAATGTATCTGTCTTTGTAAAAGCAAGAAGGAGTGCAGTATGTGGGATGGAAGGGCGTAATTACAAGTGCCCGGGAAAGTCACCTGAGGCTTACTCTCAGAGAAGAGTGCATGTGTGAGTGCCACAGCCCTGTACACCTGAAAAGCCCTGTCCCCAACCCATGTTTTATAACTCCAACTTTCAGTCTAAAACAGACAAGATGTTGTTGGTTGCTAGACAAGGCTTAGCTGGTGGTTTATTTAAATTAAATGTTGCATCTGATGTCTGAATCCCACAAACATGTATCTTAAGGAGACAATAACCCAGATTTGTACTGCATGAATTTGCCAAGTCTCACGGGAGTTATGCTCTAGGTGCTGTTTTTAGTGTCTTGCAAAGGTTTCATTTATACTTCAAGTGAATGGTAAAGTAGGTACTACCTTCAGTATCTGCAATTATCTAGACAAATACCTACAGCCTTAGAGTAGGAGACCATGACCAACATAATACACATGCAAATATAACAGAAAAGATGGGACCAGGTATTAAGGCAAATACATTAAACCCTGCTAATGCCCTTTCACCCCGAGTTATTGACAAGAAATCTCTCTAACATTTGGTGAAAGGTAGGATCCCATGAACCAGAAACCTTTAAGTACCTTCTAGTGAAAAACAATGCCTCCCAGTAGTCTTGTGTAGCAGAATACACAGAAGTGGGCATATATGTACATACACATGTGTATATAAAGGGGTCTGTGTGCACATAGGCATATGTGATTCTATGCATATATAGCGTGTATGTGTATAAGGCAAAGATTCTCAGACTTCACAGAGTATGAGGAAAGCAAGCTTCACTTCAGGGCTGAACTGCTTTTGAGCAATTTCTCCAGTGCATTAGGCATCAGCATCAGACAGGCATGCTTTTTTTTTGCTTCACCACTTCTTTTCTTGAACAAACAAGATTACTGTGAAAAACATACAGAAAAATCTCTCTCCCCTCCCTCCTTCCTGCTGCTTTTAGAGCAGTGATGATGCAGTGCAGTCTTGTTCCCCGACTATAACTGTGTTTGTTCATGTGCAGCAGAATTAGTGCCGTGGGGTGTTTAGTCACCTTCCTAGGTCACCTCCCAAGAGCGGAATTTTCTCTTGACAATTGATTTCCACCACCTTTGTTCTTGTTCCATGGTCTGGAAATGAGCACTGGCATGTCCTGCACAGAATGCCAGGAAGCTGCGTTTTAGAACATCAGCGGTGGCTGCACTGCAAGGAGGTACATGAGCACTGGTTCTGTCCTGTTATTTTTAAAAAACATACTAGTTTTGAACGGACTGTCTAGGTTTCTTGGCTTGTATAGCATAAAACATGCTGTTGGTACTCAAATAAAAATAAAAAAAGCCATTTACAACAGGTAGATAAATGTCATTATAAGAATCCTATCCAAAACACAAGTGTTTTATTTAAAACATAATTTTAAATTGAACATATTTTTCTCTTTAAAAAGTAAGCTGATTTAAGTTAATTGTGCAGTTGGGAGAGATGATAAAGAGTCGTGATTGGAATTCAAAAACTAAAATATAGAGAAAAGAAACAAAGTGAGCCCGAATCTACTAATTCTAGACTATTTGAGGAAACAGTAGCCAGAAACAGTCACCTCAATTCACTATCTACAGATAAGGCTTCTTCTTCATAAATCAAGATTTTTTTCTTTAAGTATCCTGTTCATTTGCGGTAGTTTTGCGTAACTGATGAAAACCAACACAAATGTACTGTGTGCGCATTTAAACAGACTTGGAATATTCTTATAAGTAGAGCTTGACTAATATCACAAATAAAAAGTAATAATTAACTAGATAAAAAAGTCTTGACACATTCAAAATGTAAATATGAGGAGCCTAAATAAATCAATATAATTATTTAATTGTACTTATAAGTTTGTGTATGGTCAGTATAACCTCCAAATTAACAAAATGAAGCGCTAACTTTAGCACACAGGAGGAAGCTGGTTACAAAACAGTGTGCCTTAACACTTAGCAATTACTAAACACAGCATTCCTCCAGGTTAATAATTAAATTGCGCATGTATAAAACAGTTAAAATTGATTTAAATCACTTTGATGTAAATCTGTCTGGCTTGAATTGAAATAAAAGTTTGCAGTGATGGAATTCTGTCATTGCAATCCACTAAATCAATTCACATCAGTAAGCAGTATGTGAGTAATGACTGAGACCTACCACACAACTCTATATGTCTTTAAAATTTGTACTGTTTCAGTATGTGAATTGATCTAGTAAATATATATGGGGGGGGGGGTGTTCTCTGATCTTATTACTAAAAAACATGTTGAAATTTTCATTTTTACAGAATCTGTACAACCATTAGAAGGTGATATTGTTTTGGAAAACACTTCAAAGCTGAGGCCATATCTTGTCCTTTACTTTTGTAACACACCTATAAACACTACCATACCACAGACAACAAACAGAGGTGTAACTGTGCCTTTGGAAACAGCTAGTAACTAGATGATTTAAAGGCAAATATCTCCTATTTCTCTCATAAACCCAGAGCTCCACATGAGTTGCACCCATCATAAGCCTGAAGAGTAGAGGATGCAGAGGTGGCAACAAGATATCTTTATATTTTATTCATCTTTTGCAGGAATTAGACAGGATGATACTTACCTCCACTGCTTATGGATGCAAAGACATTCTGTAGTAATTGATAAAGTTGTGGAAATATATGAATACAGCTATATGGATATGTATGGGCATAGTTGTGTCCTGGATGGATATGATTATACCTTGGACAGTGGTGAGAGTATGGTAATGGACTCCATTAAGCAGAATGTCTATTCTATTCTATTCTATTCTATTCTATTCTATTCTATTCTATTCTATTCTATTCTATTCTATTCTATTCTATTCTATTCTATTCTATTCTATTCTATTCTATTCTATTCTATTCTATTCTATTCTATTCCATTCCATTCCATTCCATTCCATTCCATTCCATTCCATTCCATTCCATTCCATTCCAATTCTATCCTATCCTTTCCTATTCTATCCTCTGCCTTTCTATGTTAAATGATTCTTGTCTGTCACTCGTCCCGTAGGGACGCTGAGCATTGTAAAGTGCAAGTGACATTGGCCAGAGTAAAGCCCTGTTTTTTGTTTTGTTTTGGTTTGTTTTTTTTTTCTCCTTGAATACTATGGAGGCTAACACTGATGTTTGGTGAACAAAATCCCTAGGGAACCAAGCCCTTCCTCCCAACAAATAAAGCTTTAAAACATCAAGTATGGCCTGTTGTTTTCATATCAGTGTGTTTTGATTTCCAGTAAGTAATATTGCTGTAAATAGTGCTACAAGCAGAACAAACCATGGCTTGATTAATTTGACATTCGAATTTGTCACTCCACTACCTAATGGTCTGCCTACATTTACAGAGCAATTGCAGTGTGAATACATATGCATGTGTTCCTGGTACACCTCAGCTGTAAATGGCAGAAAGGTATTACTAAATGCTGTAAAAGCCTCTTAAGGACAGACTGTAGCAATTTTAGAGAACCTAGTCAAATGCTATACAGTCAGAAGGAAACATGAAGTGTCTTTGTGGCTGAGACATGGCACTACTTTTGTGGGTTGATTGGACAAAACATCAGCTCACATACTGATTTCTGCCTCTCAGTTAAGACAGCAAAATCACCTATACTCCAGTCAGGATACAGTATTGAAATAAGTCAGAACATAGTTTACATGGATTAATCATATATCTCTTCATCTCAGCTACAAGCTTAAAAATATTGCTTTCTTTTTTTTTCCACAGGCCTAACTTTCTTTCCAGTCTGTATGAAGATGCTCAGTAAATGTAATCTGCTGTTCTGGAAGAAACACTGTGAGCATAAAGAGAATGGGATAATATCTCAGCTAGAGGGCTCCATATGTTGATGACAAGGTATGGTATACTGAGAGAGAAATAGGATTAGGATTGTTCTAAGTACCTATGAGCCACACATAATGCTAGGAAGGAAATAACATTTTCTAAATGCAGAGCACTGTGCCAAAAGTGCAGGTGAAAAATCTTTACTTGAGCACAGACAGATGGGAAGCTGAAGTTAAGATGGCATTGGAGATATGCACTACTGTAATTTGAGATTATTAAAAAGCTCCTAGCAAAGCTCCCAAAGGGCCCAATCCTAAGTACTACCGCAGAATTTATTGTACCACTAATAAAGGAGTAAATGCCAGTTCCATGCAAAAATCCACTAATCCATTAGTAGAATTGCTTCCACTAATCAGAAGAAATTAAATTACTAATCAGAAGAAGGGCAAATGGAAGTGTATGTTGGGATGGATATTGTTTGCCTGAATTTAGTTCTTTTCCTCAAAAGAGATGTTCAGAAGAGAAACACAGGAAAAAAAGTAAATGGTGTCCCTTTGTGAGCTGTTCTATGTTGTGCTTTTACTGTGTAGTCCAGTGATGATAAATAAAAAACATTTCAAAAGGCTGCAGCAGTGAGGTAAGATTTATCTGGGCAGTCAGGACTGTTCTGTATTGCAGTTGGCATCAGTACAAGAAATATTAGGAGATGATTATTCCTGGACTGGTCTATGGTTGGGTGTTAGCTCTAGTGTGAATGTACTCCAGTTGTGTGTGTGTGCTGAGATTTGATTACCCATTTAATCCCCAAATATATCAGGCTGCACTTCTAGTCAGTGTATGGAGTGGTCACTCACTGGTTAGGTAAAACACTGTCTTCTATTCAAACTGGTTTTAAAAGCCATGTGTTGTTACGTTTGTTTTGGTGTTTTTAAATGAGGAGACTGGAAATGAGGTACAGAGGTGCCTCAGTGAACAGATGTGCTGGTAAGACAAATGCTAAAAGCATCCACTAAATTAGCAAGTTACTGAACTTTTGATAAATGTTAATGAAAAACACCTTCTGTGACCAAGTTTTGTCAAATCTGACTAGTTTTTGCTACACCAAATTCTCATTGCTTCTGAGTGGAACCTGCTTGAATGAAAATGGGGGAAAATCAGGTGAGAGCTGGGTGTTATTTAAACAACTGTGACACATTATATCTTGCTGTAAGAAATCGTTATAATTCAACAGAAGAGTAATGTTGGTGCTTAAGTGTAGCTTGATTTCAGTCTATCAAAAAATGTTTCTGCCTATTCCGAATTTTTAAGTCACGTTATCTTTCAGCTTAATGATCCTTTAATATCAGCCTGCCACTCTGCAGAATATCTCAGAAGTTAAGTACTTACATATACATGGGCTGTAGCTGTAAATGAGATGTCTTCTGTGGACCTTGATAGCCGTAAGAGTCAAATCCACCTATGAAATCAACTGAAAGGGGGAAAATTGCTTTCATTAGCAACATCTTTTCAGAAGTGATAGGCACTATCATTCAAGAACCACCCAGCACACAGATTATTTTTGACGGACCCCCTAATAATCTGTTAAAATTAGAACAGCAAATTGTGGAGATGGAGAAAAGGGGTAAAAAAAAAAACATAGAGAAAGGCAAAGTTCCATTTTTGACTTTAAGATAAAATTAATTTTAAAATCACAAAATGATAATGAGGAATTTATAACAGCCATCTGTCTATCAGAAATAGCTACACAACCCTCTTTTTCAAGTAGACCACCTCACTGGAGTACAAAACAACATGCTATTCAGATATTGCAAACGCTGAAAACCATTTATTGGCATGAATGCATCGCTTCTGACCGTGATTACTGTGTCTGGCTTGCTGTCATACTGTGGTTCAGTGATGTAGAGGAGAAAGCACATTGATCTGACTCTGAGAGACAGCAGTTTCTCTGATTCCCTGCTTTGACATTTGGGTTGAAATGCATGAACAGAGGGTTGGAACAATTTATCTGAGCTTCAGAGATGAGGCTTCACAGATCTAAGGAAACTAGAATTTCTCTCAAGGCACTGAAGGTCTGCAGGAAGGTTGTAGGGTGGGAGTTATTTACTAATTCACACCACTGTCAGTTTCCAATGGTCTTATGTTTATTTTAAACAATTTACAGGGCAATTCAATCTCATCTGAGCATGAGACCCCTGTTTCTCTGCTACAACACTTTCTTTACACACGTAGAAGTACACCCATTGCATCCTTTGCACCAGGAGACCCAACTATTGGCTTTTGGGGGTTATTTGTGGGCAGCTGTCATACCTGAAATATTGTTTCTTATTTAGCAGATGTGAATTTGACTTTATTTTCATAGAAAAGGGACAAAGAGTTCAGGTATGGAAGTGCATTTTTCACAGGTCTGGACAATGATACTGACAAACTGGCCGTGTGTACATTAAAAGTAAAAAAAAGAGAAAAGGTTCTTTGACAGAGGATGGCTTCTTGTGGATCTAAAATGCAGTAACATTCACATAAAAATCACAAAATGTGAATTTATAACCCTTGGTTTGAGAACTTTCACAATGTTTCGACTCTTAAAACTTGCATTGATTATGTTATTTTTCACTAAGGTACCCCTCAATGTGTGCCACACTTAACAGTGCAGTCACATGCATTCTGGACATGTTACAAATCAAATTCTTGTACCCCTGTGTTCACCATTTACTTAGCAAGCAAAGAGCCACCAAAACACTAGACTAAACTGGTACAGTATGTCTGCGTTGGAACCACAGACTTGTTGAACCTGTCATTTACCTTCTTCCCTGGCAAGAATGGCCCCTTCAGAAATAATTTAGTTGATTCTGTGCTCTGTGGCAGTATTACGTATACTCCTATCCCAGAATGATGTTTTACTAAATTAATCCCTGACATCTCTAATGAAGGAGGTTCCATAGTCTCTCTGTGTTGCCTTTCCCTGCACCTAACTTCCTAATGACTAATTTAAATGTAATTTCCTGCGAATTAGCTACTTTTCTACATTTTGGCCTTTTCTCCCTATGGATATGAAGACAAATGAGTATTTTTTTTTTCTTTTATAACTACTTTCAAGCATTTTCAAAAAGTATTTACATGCTATCCATCTTTTCCAGATTTAAACATACCTAGCTCTTTCAAATTTTTCTCATGGCCAATGTTTTCCAAGCTTCTAAACTTCCAAGCCTGAAGATCTTTCTTCAGTCTACTTATGTTTTTCTTACAGTGGGGTGTGTAAATCAGGATTAAATGAAACAATTGCCATGTAGGTTTTCTGTACATTATCTGAAATAACGTAGTGGGTTTTTTTTTTGTTTTTTTTTTTTTGTTTGTTTGTTTGTTTGGCACTTTTTTTTTAAAATTCTATTTATTTTTTCAACAGCACCATATAAGTGCTTAATAACCAGATATTTATTTTTATGTTTTGACACTAACTGTAGCCTAAATAGTCCATATTTATTCCGGAGACACTTGATTGATTCTTTCCCACAGGAGTTCTTTTGCACTTGTCTGTATTGAATTTCATGTTCTTGATTCCAAGCCACTTCTCAAGATCATTTTGACTTCTAATCCTATCTTCATAAGTACTGCTCATACCCCTCCCAGTCTGGTTTCATCTGAAAGTTTTACAAATATTCTCTCTTCTATCATCCTTGCTGTCAACAAAAATAATGAAGAGAATTATTTCCCTAGCCAAAATCCCAGTGGGATCCCATCTGAAATATCCCAGCTTGTTGATAACTAAATTTAAAATAGAGTTTTAAACAATCCTGCACAAAACCTATGATGACTGCATCTGGACAGTACTTCCCTGGCCTGCTTACAAACCTTTCATAGGGTCAAAATCTTGCTACAACCAAGATAAGTGTAATTTGTTGCTCCCTACTTACTGTCTGTAACCATCAGAATAACTATATTACAATGTGATCATGTCTTTGGAAGCATACTAAGTTTATATGCACAGAACAAAGAATTCACTACAGGAATATTTTTGAGTGAATTGCTAGGCTGGGAGGAAATAAAAATGCTCTCATTCAAATACAAAGATTGCAGCAAAAAGAATGGGCATGTCTCTTCAGTAGCTGTGGTTTGTTGATCTCTTGCCCAGTTTTCCTTTTTTTTTTTCGTCGCTCACGACCTCTGACAACACAAGTCAGAAAATACCTGTGTTGGACTGAGACTCTCACTGGTGTCAACCCATACCACTTTACGGATGTTACTTGTATGAATTTGTCTGGTTTCGCATTTCTTGTGTACTTCCCAAGATCCTTCAAGTAACCGGTAAACCATTATTAGAAGGCATAGATACTCTGTTTTGCAGTCATGGAGCAAAAGGTCTTAAGGGTGATTTTAGGGTTTTCAGAAAGCTAAACCAATGTGTTAAGAAAAAGATTTCTTTGAGTGGAATGAGTTTGTGTGGGCATGAGAAAAAAATGCACGCTGAATATCTCTACATGCACTGTGTCCTTGCCCTGTTGCACATAGTAAACACAGGGTGTTAACAAGCCAGATTGTCAAGTGACAAACAAGGCAAGCTTGTAGAGACATTTCTGTGTTCAACAGACAGTGGAAGTTCCCATGTGTGTAACCAAATGGTGGTAGGGCAGAGAATACTACTGTGACCTTGTCGTAGGCATACAATAGCTTCTTACACACAACAATAAACGTTGCAAGGTAGGTAAAGGTAGGAAATACAAAGTGAACTCCAATACAAAAGGATTTCAGTAATTTCTTTGTAGCAGGGTTTCTTGATGGTGGCAGTTTCTCAGCACTGCAAAGCCTGCGGTGTCCAGACTGTGCTAAAAGCTCCCTGTGGACTCTGAGCTGATTTCCTAAAGCATGCAAAATGCTGCCCTTTCTGCAGGCATTTTATCCAGGCTGCGCCTGAAAGGTCACTAAAAGTGTCTTACAACTGATACATTCCTGGCAGCAGTGACATGAGGTGAATAAAACAAGGCTCCTTAGCTGCATTGCTCCAGAGTCGTCCATCCTTAACCTCATCCATCAAACACATTTTTGACTATTCTATTTTACATTCATCTTACATGTCACTGTTATCAGAAGTGGCTCTTTTGTCATGCTTTGCTTTAGTAAAAGCACACATGCCTATACAAACAAACACAGAATCCAATTCCTTTGAAATATTGGGCGCTGAGATGCTTATTTTCCTAGCTGGACTTGAATAGGATAATAGCAGTACTATTTATCTGTAAAATGTGTTATAAGAAATTCAGCCTGAGCATTTTTTTCTTTTGTTGGCTTTAAGGGGCTTGTCAGGCATATGACTGTGGTTACAACTGTAGCACAGAGAGGACATATGGCTCAAAATAGGGACATATTTTCTATTACTAAGCACCCACAGGGATGTGAAGTTTCAGCCTTTGCTCACAGGCACAGTCCCCACTGTCTCCAGTGTATATCAGGACAGGATGAGAGGCATAAAAGGGTTTCTCATTTTTAATTTCTGGAAGTTTGTGGTGTATAGAAGGAGCATTAAACCAGGATGCACAAAAAAGACCCCATTAGCATGGATGTGCATATGGGAGAAGGGACTTTCTAGAAAGTTTGCAGAGAGAAACATTGAAGCTGATGAAATCAACAGATAGGCAAAGAATAAAACCAGTAATATCTTCCTGTAGAAAGCAAAAGAAAAGATACTGAATAGAAACCAGAAGACTGGACGCCATTCTACTTATAGAAATTTTCCTCTGTAAGATATATAACTACAGAAGCAGAAAGATTCAGGTCCTCAGCTAATATATATATTTATAACTTCAATGATTACATTGAAGCATTGATAATTTACATTAGTGTAGGATCTGACCCGAAGAGTCATTTAGGGCATATATGTATAGAAACGTGACTGATGCTATGGATTTCCTTGCATTTTAATAGTTATGCAAAAATCAGTGCAGAATAGATATGAAAGGATAGAGTTCATGAATGGGGAGGGGGATGAGTGGCTTTATCTGTGAAGAAAAGGAAAGGGAAAGGTTGGGAAACAACCATTTACTTGGCCAGCCTGTGACCTGCTGTATGGATGCCTTCTTGACTGCTTGCAAACCCTGTCCTTACTTCATTCCTTTGCTACTACTGTTTATTTTGCTGATTGTCACATCCCTATCCTTGATGTATGAGGCCCTGCCTCTCACAATGGTGAATCTACTGCCAGTGTTCAACCCTGCCTTCACCACCACATCAACTTCCTGCCCAGGGCTCCTTCTTTAAAAATGAAGATGTCTTCAGTAGTAATTCTGTAAAGAAGGTGACTTTTCTCACTGATTCCTCTCTTCTCCTTCTCCTGGATGAAGTAGCTGGGCTCCTCCATCTTTATTAGTTCCATCCCAGACACTCCCATTATCTCCTCATCCACCCCCCTCCTCCCATCTCCACTTGTTTCCCTGCACACCATCTCTCTCACTTCTTGTACAAGCAAACTGATAAAGTAGT